ATATACACTGAAAAAACATTACATTAAGGTCATTGATTGTAACCAATTCAGCTTGTCTAGATGTGTTTGGACTGTGGGGGAAACCGGAGCACCCGGAGGAAACCCATGCCAACATTGGGGAGAACCCAGTCATGGCTCGAACCAGCAACCTTCACTTTGCCACTGCGCAACCTTCTATGTAATGTATTATCACATGCACTAAAAGCATCCTCTCCTGATACTGTCTGTGAACCCCCCACAAGCATCAATCCCCTCAATCAGCACAGCTATGTTCTGCTAAATCCTCCACAAGCACCAAACCATCAACACAGCCACATTCTGCCCCAGCAAGTCAGTTTCAAACATAAAAATAAAAAAAAACTTTGTGTCTGTTTTGTGGCAGGCAGATGACAATAGCAGGGCTGTATCTTTTAGTATTATATAGAATACTTTTGTTCTGCCAGATCCCCCAGGCAGGGTTTTATTTAGATTTATTTAGTTAATATTATAGTTTTTGGAATTCTGTGCATTGGAAAGAAGTTCTTTCAGAAGAAGAACAGTTTTTTGAAGTATTATTTGTTTTTATTCTGTCTATTCAGTGTCCTTCAACAAGAACGGTGGTGGTGGGGTTCATAATATTCACCATGGTATTTTATTAGTTGTTGGTTTAACCATGGATGACATAATGGCTTCTATGTTATTTTCTTTTCAATGACATTTCTTGTCACATGTTCAAAAACAACAGCCAATATTGCATATCTATAATTTATATAATGGGTATAATTAAACAATACTTTCACTATAACGTAAATTAGAAGTGTAATAGAAAAATTATAGATTTTTGCGCCATTTTGAATTTTACTCGAATACAAATACAAATACAAATACTTTTCCCCCCTCAACAAATACAAATACAAATACCGGCTGCTCCGCACATCCCTAATATATATATATATATATATATATATATATATATATATATATATATATATATATATATATATATATAAATTCATACAAGCAGAAATAAAATAGATATTGTGGTAAAAAAAAATAAAAATCACAATTACTTGAATAACATTTAATCACGGTCCACCAGGCCAATCTCCAAACACCCTCAGCCCCTCACATGCAGTTACAATTTAATGCAACTCTATCCTTTCAGGAGCGACGAGATAATCTGGAAAATTCTGAATGAACTTGACATTACCAAAGCATCAGACAGAGCGAGCAAAACATGCCTGCGGTTCTCAGTAGGTGCAGACAGACTGTAACACACACAGACCGCTGGCGAGCCGGAAAAATCCCAGCACACTCCAAGAGTCCAAAACACACAGCACTGATGTAACCTAATCACTTTAACATGCCACTTCAGCAACAGCAACCTGGTTCCCTGCCCACACGCAAACCTTTGCTGATCAGGAATAAAATGTGAATGAATGCAGTCTCCAAAGTGGCCGATGGGAGATGAGACTGATGGTAACTCCAGATGACAGTGGTGGGTTTGTGGTTTACAGTAGCACAGACAGGTGGCGCCCTGGTGTGACCAAACTGAAGTGGAAAAATAGGGAAAAGCAGAGGAAACATAACCCACATGATGAATCATGCTACAGGAATATCTGCCGATAAGCACCTTGGCTTTGGGATGAACCGAGATATTAAAAGACTGAAAGCTTAAATCATGAAAGGTAAACAGTGAAGATTTGCTTTTCATATCAAGGTAGAATGACCTGACTGGTGCTGATCTTGAGTGCATTGCCCAAACAATAATGTAACTCATAGCTGAACTATCATAGTACGATGCATCGTTTGGGAAAAGAACAATGTAGTAACGAGTGTTTCCCAAAAACTGTAGTTTCTCTGTCGCAGATGCATCGTTTGAACCCCATTAGTTATAATGTAAAACGCCCAAAATGATGCTCTAAACGGGGTGGGGTAACAACTTTAGAGAAAAAAACCCCATAATTTCTTTGTGCAAATTATATTGTTTTACACGCACACGCATTTAAAAAAAAAATCCAATATTAGTTTTGGTAAAAACCATGCACTCATTTTCCATATTTATTAAAATATATGTAAACAGCACATATAGGGCCTATATTTCCTTTATAAATATTATTGATAATATTGCACTGTCTAATCTACAACATAAAATCACTTACAAACAGCTAACACATATTCTAATATCATATATAAATCATATAAACAAAGAAATAATGATGATGATTAATATTCTCTTATTATTGAGAAGGATATTGTTTATTTATTTGATAAGTCTACTTTTACAATTTGACATTCAAACCGCTGCAAAAATGTTCTAACCAACAGGCCCATGTCATATTCAGTACAGATGCTTAATAAATATCCTACTATAAATTAAAAGCATTAACATATGCTGTATATTTTGTTTTCTCATGCTTTAGAAACATAACATAAATTCCGCTTTTAAATAATAGGTCACCTATAGCTTTCGTCATGAGCCACAGCTGTGACATCAATGCAAAATGACTTCCAAAATGACATCAATGGTTTTCAAAGTACACTGTGAAGGGAGCACAAATGTAAACATGAAGATCACTGAAACTGAACTGTAAATACTTTAAAAGCAAATATGGGAGATGACTTTAATGCTTTTTTTTAATCATTCCAAGTTTAAATGTTGGAACATTCTAAATGAATAGGGCATAGGGAGGAGAAATGGGAATAGAACACAGCCAGGAACTATGCTTCTAACTACAGATTCAGAGGTGTAGTTGCAAGCATACAAGTTTGCGACGTAGTTTGTGAATGTTTGTTGGAACGATGGATTTGGCAAATGCCAAATCAACAAACTGTGTTTGTAACGACGCAACTTGCAACTTTAGTTGGCTAACCATGTTTTTTTCGGAAACGCACCCCTGATCTACACATCTGAATTCTGGACTATTTACAAGCAAAATATCTCATTCATAATACGCTGAAAAAATGCTGCTTGCTTAAACTACTTACTTAAAATGAGTTGAAACAACACAATTCTTCGTTTTTTTGAACAACTTAACCCTCTACCGCATGGTTTTGCCATTTGATAACAAGATATTTATATTAATTTCCCTGCCACTGTTTCTTTAAGACCAGCGTTCTAATTTTTTTTGTTGGAAAGAGAAAACCTTAGTTTAGCCAATGATGTGCTTTGGTTAGGTCACATGACATGCTGTGTTTTTCTGCAGCGCGATTTCTGACAGACTGGCGTTCATTGTGAGAAGTTGCTAAATGCAAATGAAAATGTAAATAAAAACAAAGGATCAAATTATGTCAGATCCACAAAAAAATCTGAGACGTCACCTCCAGTAAGTTATGGTGACATATTCACAACTCAAAAAATGTTATCAAATTAGTTTTGTGTAAATCAATCAAATGTAAGTGTGCAATAGTGGAATGTGTATTATTGCAATGGTTTAACTAGCTTGCAAGGTCAGCTGTTATCTTTTAAGTTGTAACAATAACAACATGAATGCTAGTAATACAATGTTCGGCTTTTGCATTATGGATAAAATCTAATTGTAATGACAATGCTACTTTTGATTAGATATGAATACAGGGAAAAGTGAATTAGCGAGCACCACCATGTTCTATGGTAAGTGAAAGAAGAAAAGGACAGAACTGGCTCTTCCTGCAGATGAAAGTGAGGACGAGATGGGTGGTGATCATGAAAATTATGCAGATTGGACATTTGATAAGAGCAGTGATGGAGACAGTTCAGGTAAGTTAGTTCAGAGGCACATTAGACGGCGTATAGTATAAAGAATAATATAAACATTGTTTGCTAGTAGCTTCATTATTCTGATAAATCTGGATATACTAGGCTTGTTTTTTGTTATAATGTTTATTGGAGGAAATATTTATACCTACTGTATGTTGTTAACAAGATAATACATGTTTGTTTTCAATAATATTCAGCAAAAAAGAATGGAATAAATGAAAGCTGTTGGAATATCAGTTGTTGGAAAGTATGCAAAAGGTGTCATAAGTTCTCTCTTAAAGATTGTAATACTGCAACACCATATAAATAATTTCAAGCAACTAAATTATTAATTATGAGGAAAATTTAAATTTTTAAGTTAGATCTACTGTTGGACGTTGTTGCCATATGGCAACATTAAGTACCTTAAAAAAAATCTCCCAATTTTTATCACAGCACATCAAATTAAGGCATTTTAAAAATAAAAAAAACAGTAAATTTTTTATACAGATCTATCATAATGCATGCAGTAAAGGGTTTACCATTTTATGTTCAATCCACTTAAATTTGTAAAAACAATTAAGTTAACTTAATCAATTTGATTTGGAACAACATGAATACATTTTGTGGAACCCTGCATTTTCTCCATTAAATCTACTTTGTATATAAATAAAATAATAGACAGATAGAAAAAAGAAAGCAAGCAAGCAAGAAAGAAAGCACTTGAAAAACTCTCTAGTTCTCTGTAAGTACTGTTAAGTATGTATATCTGTAGTCTTTAAGTATGTTTTATTCTATAAAAGTCTGAGTGCAATTCTTGTGGTTTCAAATAATAATAAAAAAAAAAAACGTTACTTAGAGCATTTTCCCCAGATAATGACAATTAGATAGAGGGTTATTCAATTATATATTAACTTCTTGACACTTCTGAAATTAAAACATTAGTGCCGTTTGAATATAATGAACACAAACGTCTGAAATTATGGCAGTTTTTGTGATCCTACACAAAACAAAACAACAAACGCTGTAAACTACTAATATTTAACTAGTTGTGTGTTAGAGTAAAACGGATTTTTTATTCATCTGTAAACTACTGATGCCATTGGTGCAAATTTAAAACAAAAATATTGTCTTTGAGACATCTTTTCATTAACTAGTGAATTAATTAATAACTATAAATTTATATATCGATCGACTCGGTCTCGCGGGTAGTTAACGTTACCTAGCAAAATCCATCAACAAACAGAACCCGACATAACGTTATATGAACACCAGTCGACATAAGCAGAAGATGAAAACTCACCAATACGATGAGACAATCTGTGTTTACTGACGGTAAACCCAAACCAGCCTTCCAGCAAAACAGCTCACAGGGCGCCGCCATCTTCAAAACTCCAGTCACCTCTGACCGGGGGAGCTGATGCTTCACAAATAAAAGTCCTGAGACTGTAAGTTTTTTATTACAGATGAAGGGATGATCAAAAGTGACAGAAAATACTTTTTTAAAAGAGGTTGATATATTTTTTTCTATTTCATGTGGAGGAACAGACCACATTATTTAAAATAATTTTCTGCAATCCAGTTGAAGATGGTGGTCTCAGTGTTTTTGAATTCAGTGTATTTAAAAACAAATGGATTCAGATTCATTCATTCAGATTTTTTTGAGGTGTAATTTTGAAAGTAAGATAAATCAGTGATATGGAACAACAAATGTAATGTTAACCTTTAAAAATAAAACCTTATTTTATAGAAATGAGTACAATAATGATATTAAATTGTGAGGCAGTTATTCAAATATAATGGACAACTTTTTAATTATTGTGAATTTCTCAGTTATTACAAGATCCTCCATAACTGCTAAAGAATTTGCAATAGTATCTTATGCAATTCCTTGTGGACTTGTTCAGCTCTTACCTGGTAATATATCCCTTGAATCTAATCTTTTACATAATAATCAATTAAGTATCAATGGTGTGAAAATTAATTTATCAATTTCTCTGCGGCTTAGTCCCTTTCTCAAACTGGGATGCCACAGCGGAACCCCCAACTTATCCAGCATATGTTTTGCGCAGCAGTTGCAACCCATCACTGGGAAACATCCATACACACTCATTCACACACATACACAATGGACATTTTAGCCTACCCAATTCACCTATACCACATGTCTTTGGGGCGGAAACATGCAAACTCCACACAGAAATGCCAACTGACTCAGCCGCGACTCGAACCAGTGGGGGGGGGAACATGCAAACTCCACACAGAAATGCCAACTGACTCAGCCGCGACTCGAACCAGTGACCTTCTTGCTGTAAGGCGATAGTGCTACCCACTGCGTCACCGTGCAGCCCTGGTATGAAAATTATAAACAGTATATTTAATAACTTTTACATTAAAAAGTTATGCAGAACTTTATTATTTCCTAAATGCAAACCTTTTTGGAATTCCTTATTTGAGCAGATTGAATGGAAAACAGTTTGGAACTTACCTAGTACATACTGTCTGACCAATAAAGTTAAAGAAGTGACATATAAACTAATCATTTATTTTATCTAGTGAAACATATTGTTCCCTGTTTGTTTTTTAAGACAGGGATTCTGCATGCACTTTTTGTGAATTAGAGAAGGAATTAATAAAACATCTGTTTTTTTGAATGCACATATACCCAAATGTTTTGGTTTGATGTTGAATATCTTATATTTAAACTTACAAAATAAAAAATTCAGCAATCTTGTAAAGATTTTTTTGAATAATAATAATAATGCTAATACTAATAATAAAACGTTTGAGCAAAAATGGTTTATTAATTTAATGATTATACCGTGCTCAGCATAACTGAGTACATTCCATTAAAAAAAAAAAAAAGACTATTTTGATCCATTTCTCAGTAAATATAGGCAATGTATTTTGGTGCATTTAAAAAAAAAACAGATTTATATATATTACAGATATATTTATTAAAATAATATTTTAGTCAACAAACAGATTTAGAAATTGAAACATAATACAATTAAATAAATAAATAAAAACTTACAAACCTACAACATTTCAACTAAATTTTTTTTTAATTTTTTGCTTCTTTTGAATTTTTCCTCTTTTTTAAATTAGTATTTAATATTTTTCTATAACATATAATTGTGGGTGTGCTAGTTTTTGGACTGTTATCATAAGTTATATTGTTAGAAATGCTCCAGATTTGGCTTCAGTACTGACTATTCTAATGTATATGCACAAATATAATATTGTATAGCTTCCTATTAAAAATATCAATTTTAAAGAGAGATTTGTGAGGGGTGTACTCATATATGCTGAGCACTGTATATGGGAAATACCATGTACACAAACAAAAATGGTCCAATGATGAACCTAACATTTATTTGTTAAAAATTGATCTTAAGCATCATATGGAAACCCTAAAATACAGTAAAGATAAAAAAGCTATAAAGATGTATGCAATTTTTTAATCAACTTCTTATGCAAATGTCTTGTAATTTTATATGTCCCCTGTAATTTTATTGATATTTTGTTTTATTCTCTATTGATTTGTTGTACTGTATTCTTTAAATCAATGGCTTTTAAATAATGAAAGGAAAATGTAAAGCTCATTTCATAATTTGTCAAACCTATCATCATAAATTAAAATGTTATTGAGATTAATTTAGTATTAATTTATTTATTTATGATGGAACCTTTTAAAGCAAGTTGAAAATCTTTCTGATCCACAAAAATCTGACTATATCTAATGCTCAAATAACTGATTAATACACAAATAATAATTCAAAAAGAACAACACAGAGAGGATAATTTTAAAGTTTGACAACATTTAATGACACACAAAAACAAGAATAGTCCTAAAAATATGTTGCAGAGTGGAATCTTGAAAGCAGAGAAGGGCTTCTTGTTATTGAGCGAGTCCTCTTCATCTTGACATCATTATCAAGTGGGAAAAACATGAAGTTTGAAGGAAGAGCAGGTCGCATAGCAACATGAGCTGGTTTCAGAGTAGGCAAATTTGTAAACACAGGAACAGGCAGAGGCACATGTTCGTCCACCTTCACTCCACTTGTAAGACGTGGCAGGCTGGGTAAAGACAGGCGAGACTCAACTTTACAATCAGACCCACATGACGGGTCAGCGCCGTTCCTCTCTGCCTTATTCACTAGTGGAGGAAACCTGGACACTTGACGTTCTGGAGCTTCGTCAATGATCTTCTGTCTGCTCAAAAGCTTAACAGGAGCACAGCGTCGCCTCAAAACAGGCGAGTGTGTGGAAACAGCAGCAGGATGCTGGGATTTGCCTACTCTCACTGCCAGAAGAGATGAGGAACACTCAACACTGACATTCAGCTCAGACTCACATGGAGGATCTTTCAGTGAAACTTTCATCTGATGCTCTGGAGGTCCATCAGTGAACTTCTGTCCACTGACAGGCTTCACAGGAACACACTTTGACTCCAGAACAGGCAGTTTTGAGCGTCCAGCAACAGGATGTTTGCGCAGAGATGTACGCTTGTCCATCCTCACAGGTTGCCTCCCTGAAAGGGCAACAAAAAATGAGCAAGGGGCAACACTGAGGTCAGACTCATATGAAGGGTTGATGTTTTCCACTGTACCTTTCATTATATGATTCGACCCCACGTCCAGCCATTCTGCGGGTTCATCTGTGAAACTCTGCTGGTTGACAGGCTTCACAGGAACACACTTTGTCTTTAGAATGGGCAGTTTTGATCGTGGAGCATCAGGATGATGTCGGAGAGGCCTACGCTTCTTCATTCTCACTGATTGGCTCCCTGAGAGAGGCACAAAAAATGAGCAAGGAGCAACATTGACAGTAAGGTCAGACTCACATGAAGGGTTGGTGTTTTCCACTGTACCTTTCATAATATGATTGGAGTCCACGCCCAGCCATTCTGAGGGTTCATCTGTGAAACTCTGCTGGTTGACAGGCTTCACAGGAACACACTTTGATTTCAGAATGGGCAGTTTGGAGCGTGGAGCAGCAGGATGATGACGGATAGGCTTACATTTATCCAGTCTCACTGATTGGCTCCCTGAAAAAGGCGTAAATAATGAGCAAAGAGCAACACTGACATTAAAGTCAGACTCACATAAAGGGTTGATGTTTTTCACTGTACCTTTTTGATTCAAGTCCACGCCCATCCATTCTGAGGGTTCATCTGTGAAACTCTGCTGGTTGACAGGCTTCACAGGAACACACTTTGACTTCAGAATGGGCAGTTTGGAGCGTGGAGCAGGATGATGACGGAGAGGCCTACGTTTATCCATTCTCTCTTCTCGACTCTCAGAATGGAGCAGAAGAGATGAAGAATGGTCAACACTGGCATTCAGGTCAGGCTCACATGAAAGATAGCTGATGTCTTTCAGTGAAACCTCCATCATATGTTTATGAGACCTCACTCCGCGACGTTTTGGCAGTCCATGACCATCAGTGAACTTCTGCTTCTCAGCAGGTTTCACAGGAACATGGCGCAGCTTCAGAACAGTCAGGTTTGAGCATACAACCTCATGCTGATGGAGAGGCGTACTTGTGTCCATCCTCACTGAACTGCTCCAGGAATGGGACAGATCAGACGAGGAACGGTCAGCATTGGCGTTCAGATCAGACACAGGTAAAAAGTAGCTGACACTTTTCACTGAAACTTTCATCTGACGCTTAGGAGAGCTCACGTCTCGGTGTTCTGGAGATCGTGGCACGGACTGACTGTTAGACCACATGTTGAAAAAGTGAAGTGAAGATTATATCACAACAACAACGACAAACTGGATCCAACAGGCGATAATGGCGACTGTCAAATGTAACTTTTCACCGTGGAATGGCCGCTATGATGTCAACATTCTTTTAGAACGTCCGCGTGCCTTCAAACCTGTGACGTTCTATCAGGCATCATTTAAATCTGTAGAATAGCCCATATTCACTTATACAGGCATTTTATTTACATACTACATTTGTTTATTTTATTTATAAATTCATCAAATCAGTTCTCATCTTAATTTACTCTGAGCGCACTTTTAAACGACGGATTTAACGCAATCAGATTTGGGGCAGATTTTAATATAGCAGGTCTACTGTATAAGTGAAAGTGTGGCTCCCTCTAGAGGTGAAAATCTTATTTTAGGCCAATATTGAATAGATATTAGTTATTCCTCTCCCTATAAGTATATAAATAAATACGCAAATAAATAACTAAATGAGTAAATAAATCCACACATTTCTGCATAAATAAATATATAAATAATAGTGTGGGCAAGTAAATAATTAAATAAATTACACAAATGTAGGGGAAATAAAAAGTGCTAAACTTAATGTTTCTTTTCCCTCCCTTTTAAACGTTTTTTCATTTTTGCACGTAGTTTGGTATTTACTTTTCCTCAGGTCAACATGAGAATGAGAGGCTGTCAGAAGTCAGTCAAAAAATATGTATGCAATTTTTTGTAAGGATCAATGATGGCATAAAGAGCGCCTTCTGATGATTTGACAAACAGACTCTCATGATCATGTTGACCTGAGGAAAAGTAAATAGCCAACGTTCAATAATGAATAAACGTTTAGAAATGTAATTTCCCCAGCATTCCCCAAATAAATTGCATAAACATGCAACTTATTCAGTTATTTACCTGCCTGCACTATTAAATATGTCTATATTTATTTATGCAGAAATTTGAAGATTTTTACAAATTTATTTATTTGCATATTTATTAATTAATTGTTTTATTTATGCAGTATAAAATAAGCATAGATAAAGGCTTTAAGACTAATTAAATTTTTAATTATTCAAATGGCCAAATACTGAGGAAAACTGAATGAGCTGGCCAGTTTGTTATTTGCCTATAGACTACAGTCTTTAATTTAAAACAAGTTTGAACAGTTTCCTAATAGTTTTTTTTTTGACTGATGATAAATTGATGATAATAAATTTTCATATTTCTATGTAAAACATTAAATGCTAATTTCATAAAATTATTTAAAAAACTTTAATAACTTACAGTTTAAATTCACACCAGTAAATATACACTTATGGTCAAATAGTATTTTCAGCACTTCGACAAAAATGTGAAAAATATTTTTGCTACATCAAAAAGTGTGTCACCATTCGACAATCTAATCCAGCAATGCCTCACAGCAAGAAGGTTGCCGATTCGAGCCCCAGCTGGGTAAGTTGGCATTTCTGTGTGGAGTTTGTATGTTCTCCCCGTGTTCGCGTGGGTTTCCTCCAGGTGCTCCGGTTTCCTCTAGTCCAAGGACATGCACTATAGGTGAAATGAATAAACTAAATTGGCCGTATGGTATTTGTGTGAATGCAAGAGTGTATGGATGTTTCCCAACACTGGGTTGCGGCTAGAAGGGCATCCGCTTGGTAAAACATTTGCTGGATAAGTTGGCGGTTCATTCCTCTGTGGCAATTCCAGATTAATAAAGGGACTAAGCTGAAAAGAAAATGCATGAATGAATAAATAACTGCAAAAATATTTTCTTTTTTAGAGAAAAGAACCACCTCTTCCAATAGGCTGGCTCTGGCCGGAAAAGACACACACATACAGTTGAAGTCAGAATTATTAGCCCCCCTTTGAATATTTTATTCTTTTTATTTTTATTTTCTAAATGATGTTTAACAGAGCAAATAATTTTTCACAGTATGTCTGATAATATTTTTTCTTCTTGAGAAAGTCTTATTTGTTTTATTTTTGGCTAGAATAAAAGCAGTTTTTAATTTTTTAAACACCATTTTAAGGTTAAAATGATTAGCCCCTTTAAGCTATATTTTTTGAATAGTCTAAAGAACAAACCATCGTTATACAATAACTTGCCTAATTACCCTAACCTGCCTAGTTAAACTTATTAACCTAGTTAAGCCTTTAAATGTCCCTTTAAGCTGCATAGAGGTGTCTTGAAAAAGTCAAATATTATGTACTGTGATCATAGCAAAGATAAAATAAATCAGTTATTAGAAATGAGTGATTAAAACTATTATGATTAGAAATGTGTTGAAAAAAATCTTCACTCCGTTAAACAGAAATGGGGGTGGGGGGTGGGGGTGGGGGGGGGGATTAACAGGGGAGCTAATAACTCAGGGGGGCCAATAATTCTGACTTCAACTGTGTAAACATACGTAGTCAGCACAGCCATAAATAGTGGTGGTTTTTAGTTAAAACAAATTTAGACGATCAGTTTTTGAAATCACACACACATAAGATAGTATAGCTTAGTGAGGAAAATAAAAAAACATACAAATTCAGTCAGTGAAATTCACAAAATTTCTTATCTTATTTCTGCTTTTTTATGTGTTCCTGGTTTTCAATTGGTTTTCTTTTATTCTTTTACTTAAACTTAATGTCTTTCCTCATCACAAAAGTAAAACATTCATTGACATTACCATAAGTGTTTTATTTATTATATTTATATAAAGGAGTAGCACTATATTAAAATGATTTCTGAAGGATCACTATAAGAATAATTGCTGCTGAAAATTGCACATTCATTCATTCATTCATTTTCTTTTCGGCGTAGTTCCTTTATTAATCTGGGGTCGCCACAGCGGACGCCAACGTATCCGCCAACGTATCCAGTATATACACCCATACACACTCATTCACACACATACACTACGGACAATTTAGCTCACCCAATTTACCTACTGCATGTCTTGGACTGTTGGGGAAACTTGAGTACCCGGAGGAAACCCAAGCAAACGCAGGGAGAACATGCAAACTTCACACAGAAACGCCAACTGACCCAGCCAAGGTCTTGAACCTGCAACCTTCTTGCTGTGAGGGGCATCGCTACCCACTGCACCACCGCGCCTGAAAATTACTCTCATTCTAAAAATAATAGCCATAAGGGAATGTTCTACAGTTGAAGTCAGAATTATTAGCCCCCCTTTGAATTTATTTTTTTTTTAAATATTGCCCAAATGATGTTTAACGGATTCAGGAAATTTTCACAGTATGTCTGATAATATTTTTTTCTTCTGGAGAAAGTCTTATTTATTTTATTTTAGCTAGAATAAAAGCAGTTTTGAATTTTTAAAACACCATTTGAAGGATAAAATTATTAGCCCCTTTAAGCTATTTTGGGATAGTCTACAGAACAAACCATCATTATACAATAGCTTGCCTAATTGCCCTAGCCTGCCTAGTTAACCTAATTAACCTAGTCAAGCCTTTAAATGTCACTTTATACTGTATAGAAGTGTCTTGAAAATATCTAGTCAAATATTATTTACTGTCATCATGGCAAAGGTAATTTAACTCAGTTATTATAGATGAGTTACTAAAACTATTGTTTACAAACGTGTTGAAAAATCTCTCTGTTAAACAGAAATGGGGGAAAAATAAACAGGGGGGCTAATAATTTAGAGGGGCTAATAATTCTGACTTCAACTGTTTAACAAAAACAATTTAAGTGTGCTGTGTCTAGGCACAAACATTTTGTAACCATGACATTATTTGGCATTTTACATTGTGCTTGTGTTATATATTAAGAAAGAGAGAGAAGACATCACCTCCTGGCCAAATGGACAATCAGTCACATCTGTTGCAACTCTCCATTCCAAAGAAGCTGCCAAAAATTCATAAGCCAAAACAACATGCACACATGATGACATCATCATCTCCAGAGTCCCAAGAGACTGATAGAGTCCAGTACATTCCTGCAGAGGACATAAGCACCCATTTCAAAACTAGTAATCCTTTAGAGCACACTCACTCAATCTATAACACACATGTAGCTGCTTAAACTATGTGCTCTCATTTAAATCATTGACTTTCATTAAGAGTGAAGACAAGAAAAGTTCCACATATTGAGAAAATCTGGCATGGAAAAGGACTTCAGGCATTATTGGGAAATTTTTTTTAATTATTATTCCAAGAGCAGGACGGAGGACAAAAAGATTTTTTGTTAAACGCATGCAGTTTTAAAGAAACATTCATGCAGCTTCCTTCAGTTTAGTGTCTATTTTAAAGGTCCCCACATCAGAATGAACCACCAATTATTCCAGCATATGTTTTACACAGCGGATGCCCTTCCAGCCACAACCTAATATTGAGACAGTTCACCCAAAAATTATAATTACCCGATGTGATCTCATGGCAATACATAACTTTTTTTTGATTTTGTTGCTTATTAGTGTTAATTTGAGACGGTACGGTGGCTCAGTGGTTAGCGCTATTGCCTCACATCAAGAAGGTAACTGGTTCGAGTCCTAACTGGGCCAGTTGGCATTTCTCTGTGGAGTTAGCATGTTTTCTCTGTGTTGGCGTGGGTTTCCTCAGGTCTTCCGGTTCCCCCACACAGTCCAAAGACATGCGCTATAGATGAATATATAGATGAATATATAGATGAATAAATTGGCCGTAGTGTGTGTATGTGTGTGTGTGTGTGTGTTTGTGTTTACCAGTACTGGGAAGAGCATCCGCTGTGTAAAACATATGCTGGAATAGTTGGCGGTTCATTTCGCTGTGGTGACTTCTGAAATAGAGACTAAGCGGAAGGAAAAAGAATGAATAAATTTGTTAAATTTGTACATTTCATTCATATATTTTAGTTTGATATTCTCATCCTTCGATGAGGGGTGGGGTTTGGGGACATGCCTCCCTTTAAAATTAATCCATTTTCATGTGAATTAAATCATATAAATTCATAAGAATGAACAACTTTTCTGACATACATAAAATAGTTACTTTCCTTGTGGGACCGGGTTGAAATTATCTTGTAATTTACTAACCATAAACCCATCTTTGGTCTATGACGTCCTTTATCCAGGTGAACAAAATCCAAGACGTCTCATGAAGCAAAATGATGTGTTTTTGAGACAAAAATATTTCAATTAGTCTTTTTTAAGATTTATTCATCAGATTTTTTGACAGCTAAACAAAGAGAAAATAACAGACACACACACTCATTCACACAATTTAGCACAATAAAGCTGAAATGCAGCTCATTAGTCAAAAATACCAAATAAGTTTATTTCCTGTATTTATGGTGGAGTTTATTCAAGCCTTTCTGAAACGATGAGTCTCACACAAATTTTTTTGACAGCACACACACACACACACACACACAAACACACATCAGCATTTACTATGCGGCCATGGTGATTATAGCAGTAAAGAATTACATGGCGATGTTACTGTCTTCATTACAAACATGCTCTTTTGAAAAATCACAGGGAGTTGGAACAAATATTTTAATGCTAGTTTATTTGCCAAAAATGTTCTGTGGACAAGTGTATATGTCCACAATGGTGCCTGTCAATCAATTCAGTGGGTGGGAAAAACCGCAGTCTTACGTCACGCTGTGGTGGGCCTGAAATTCACTGAGATTTGGGTCCTATTTTCATTGTCAGGAAATTTTAAAAAAGATATTTGTTGTGTTACTGTCACTCTAATATGACTGTAGACACACATACACAGTTCCACAGTTCAAACAGTTTACAAAAGTTGATTTTCATCATAGGTGCCCCTTAATTTTTTTTTCTAGAATTAGACTATATAGATTTTTTTTTCTAGTTCAATATATCTCATTTTTAAATTATAAAGTCAAGTCACTAAATTCCAGCGATTGGGTTGGTTTTTATAATAGATTTATGCACTTCTAACACCATTACACAACCTGAAAGAGCAGTGATAAAATGTGTTCATCTGACATTAGAAAGTCATGTACCTCAAGAATGTATTGATGGGGTAGTTGTAATTTTGTGTGAACTATTCCTTTAAAGAAGCTCTTGCTACAAACAATCACAACTGTTTTGTCAGGCTTAAAATAATGTTGTAAATAATTGTCTGCATATTGCACAGATTAATCATTTTGCTTTAGAGGGCCTCAGTCAGGAGCGATGGGTGTTATTTTTGTTTTTCCTGTATATTTTTAACCCCTAAAGTGCTGGTATACTGTTGACATGTGTTTTTTAAACCACCAAGAATTATTTCTTCTTTAATGCTGTACTGAAGAAAAAAGATGATCTGAGGGTGATTTAAATAACTGCACATTTTCATTTTTGCGTGAACTATCCCTTTACAAGGCATTCAAGAGTGTAAATTCAGTCCAGTTTCAGGCTGTGTGTGGTAAAACTTCATCCTTCCTCCCATCAGGTTGGCATAAAGCTCTTCACCGAAGCCCTGTGGAAAAACCAAATGACCCGTTTAACAACTCGAAATTCAGACAAGACAAACACTCAAACCTCAAGTGAACAAAACATCCGTGACTTGAGAATAGACATAGACTCTGACCTTAAGGAATAACATCAAGCGATTCAAAATATTTATATGAATACAGATGATTTGGTTGAACCACGTTGCATAAACATGCCACAGTAGTGATTTAAGACTAATGTACATTGGTAAAGAAATGAAAGACCCTTTTAAAGTCTTATTTATATATAGTGGATGCTTATAAAGGACTGACAGATGTGATTAAGGCTGTTAAAATGGGCAGGGAGAGAGAAATGTAGTAACAGAAAAACACACACTAAACACACACACACACACAGACTCTGCAGGATAATGTCACTGCTGATGTCATGAGTGATGTCATCACATAGATGCATTTCAGCAAAGGTGACATGAGCTATTTCTGGTTAGATGATAACGAACAAATCACTAATAATTTATCCACAAATACATAAAAAATATTGATATTTTGAAACATTTTCTATCAATTTAATGATAATATTTAAAAACAACACCATATGTAAATAATATACATAAATACTGTACATTTGATCAAACATCTCATTGTATAGAAAGCCATAGAAAGTGTTGACATAACTATGAGACATTCATTCATCATCTTTTCAGCTTAGTCCGTTTATTAATTTAGGCTCGCCACAGCGGAATGAACCGCCAACTTATCCAGCATATGCTTTATAGATGCCCTTTCAGCTGCAACCCATCCCTGGGAAACACCCATACACACTAATTCACACATATACACTACGGACAAGTTTAGCTCACCCAATTCACCTGTACCCCATGTCTTTCGACTTGTAAAGGAAACCCACACCAATACGGGGAGAACATGCAAACTCTACACAGAAATGCCAACTGACCCAGCTGAGGCTCGAACCAGGAACCTTCTTGTTATGAGGTGATCGTGCTACCCTCTGGGCCACCGTGATGCCCAATATGAGACATATATGCACATATCTTTTAAAATCTGTTTAACAAGGTAATAACGTCTTTAGGTGTGGTCACCACAGAATAACTGACTGTAGTGCACTGAATTATTATAAAATAGGACTTGTAACAGAAAATGTGGCCGTATACCATCTCATTCATTCATTCATTTTTTTTTCGGCTTAGTTCTTTTATAATTCTGGGGTCACCACAGCGGAATGAACCACCTACTTACAGTATGCAGCATACGTTTTACACAGCGGATGCCCTTCCAGCTGCAACACAGTACTTGGAAAAATTCATACACACTCATTCACACACACACTATGGCCAATTTAGTTCACCCAATTCACCTGTACCGCATGTCTTTGGACTTTGGGGGAAACTGGAGCACCCGTGGGAGAACATGCAAACTTCACACGAAATGCCAACTGGCCCAGCCGGGACTCGAACCAGTGACCTTGAATTGAATTTGAATTGAATTTTATTTGACAGATTTTAGACAAACTGTACAAAAAGTATTCCATACACTTTGTTAAAAAAAAAAAAACTGTCGAGGATAAAAACACAATAAAGCCCTGGGCTTATTTCCATTGTGGTCCTCTGTTAAATAAAAACAATGTATGGCTTCAATATACCAATGATGCATAAAACAAACAGTCGCCACAGCGGTACGAACAGTCAACCTATCCAGCACATGTTCCACACAGCTAATGGCCTTCCAGCCGCAACCCTATTCACACTCAAGTAACATATAAATTAAAACATCCTCGTCCACCATGCAAACTAATTATCCTTATCAAACAACCATCTTTTGATAGCTTTTTTGAACAACCTTAAATCTTTTATTTCCTTGATTGATTTTGGTAGTTTGTTCCACATGATTGCACTTGTATATAAAAACATATTTTCCCCCACTAAACTTCTAAATTTAAATAAACAAATATTAAAATCCCAACTCCTATAGTACTGTATGAATGCTGTTGCCTCACCATTTGAAAATAGTTCATCAAATAACCAGGAACCACATTATTAAACATTTTACGTACCATTTCCAGTTTTAAAAAACACACTCTATTACTAACAGTTAACATACCTAATTTATTAAAAAACTCTTTGTGCAAATGTGCTCTAGGATGCATTTTTAAAATTATTCGTACTAATTTATTTTGTCCCTATTGCAATTTTTCCTTATATCTTATATCTTATATCCTTATATCTAAATACCTTCTTGCTGTGAGGTGACAGTGCTAACCACTGAGCCACCGTGTTGCCACTTATAACTATTTTCAGTTTAATGTTGAGTTTTTTCACCTAAGAATACCTGAAAAATGAACACTGGAGCCTTTTATTGCTCATATATTGTGCTTTATTGCTTATATATCATTTCAGTATCAACTTTGTTAGATGATGCTTCTGCTAAAATACCTTGGACAAAAATAAAAAAAAAACACAAATTAGTCAAAGATTGTCAGGGTTATTTTAATATGAACTCAACACACATCAGTGTGAGACACTGTTAACGGATTTTATAAGGGTTTTTAACACACACTGTAAAAAATTCCGTTATTTTACAGATTTTTTTCCATCGGGTGGCGGAAGAAAAAAAGTGAAGTGAAGGAGAGCAACAATAAATTTGCAGCTACGCTGACACACAGCTGTTTGTAGCCCTGCCCTCTTTTCAAACCATCACAATCTCATTTGAATTTAAAGCGACAGTCAACCAAACGACACAATTTTAATATTCAAAGAGTGTCAAAGAGTTATAAACCAATATTTGTGGGGTATTTTGAGTTACACATTCACATTTATCAGAGGGATATCAAATGCTTATTTGACATCTTGTATAAAGGTACATAAAAGGGCCCCTTTAAGACCACTTCTGAAACTATACATTAAACGTGGAATTTTCCCTGAGGACAAACAAATTTCTTTCAAGAAGAAATTAATGAGGTCTCATCCGAATTCTTTATTCCTCCTTTTCCAAACATGAAAGAAAAGGAGGTGCAGGAGCTCCACCCATGTGTGTGCAGTACCTGCTCAGGTGCTCAAACAATAAAAAGACTGTTCACTGTGATAAAGGGGCACTTTCTCCAGAACATTAGTGGATGTTGTTGATTCAACCTGCTGGCGGAGATCACACTCTGAAGGATTACTCGTCTTCAAAGATGATTATGATTATGCTAAGAGCTTCCACCACCTTAGTTATTTGCTGGATTTTACTCTTTATTGGTAAGTAACAACTATATTAAAAAAATTCAATGCTAGTCAATTCATTATTGTGTATTTGTAACATTTTAAGGGGTCATTAACTTAAATTAAAATGTGGTTATTATATACTCATTCTTATGCAGATGAAAATAATATTTAAAACAATTGTTTTTGTCTACAGAATAAAAGTCATAGTGTGTTTTTTTTTGTTGGACATCATTATCTCTCACTTTATGCGGAAAAAATATACTTCAAACTTATTTTTTAGTCACATGACATAATAAAATGTTCACTTTAAGGTAAAATATAAAAATTTTTGGTGAACATTAAGTGAAATAAAAAAAACACATTTGATTTTTATATTGCATACAATAAAGTCAATCATTAAAGCCAAGTCAACCTTTTTAAGTAACTGAAACTTAATTTGACTGTAATGTAGACCTTTTGTAAAGCTGCTTTGAAACAATAATTATTGTAAAAAAAAAAAAAAAAAAAAAACAAAGCGGTATACAAATAAACCTGAATTAAATTATGATCAATAATTGTAAATGTGATTTAGGTGTAAACTCGGTCAATATATCTGCGGTGGACTCCACAACTGAGAGCACAGATGCCTCGACGCCACACTCTTTAACATCAGTTATCATGGACCTCCGCATCACTAACCGTGTTTATAATGAGTCACTGGCTGACCAGCAATCAGCAGAGTACACAACGCTCAAACAAGAACTGGATCAACTGGTGAGCTTTTTAATCACAGCTCTATACATCATTAACAACGTATTTACAGTATACTGTGATATATACAGTTGAAGTTAGAATAATTAGCCCCCTGCATATTTTTTCCCCACATTCTGTTCAATGGAAACCTTGGAAAAAATCCTTGCTCTGTTAAACATCATTTGGTAAATATCTGAATGAGAAATCCACTAGAGCTAATCATTTTGACTTTAACTGTATGTGTATTCTTTGGATGAGCATGCATTTTCTGATAGATCGTCTAGAAAAATGTACAATTGTGCAGTAATGGATTTACAGCACAATACTTTGATGTACACTTTTAAAAAGTCCCAAATGCAAAAGACTCAAAGAGACTCTGATGAACTTTGTTTCACCAAGGAGTAAACTTGGAAGTAAGAGCTCCATTTACTTTCTCCATACTGGAATCGGATGTTTTAAATGAACTAATAAGCAGACAGGCTTTTAATTGATTATCTATGCAATTCTTAAACCATTCTGTTAACAAAATACTCCACCTGTTTTTTAAACTGCTGTCTTAAATAGTGGAATTTGGCCAGAAAAACTACATTACCCATAACGCCGTAGAGATAACACGACCAATCAGAAAGTCGAAGTGAGTAGAGCATTGGTGCAATCGAAATGAGATACTCTGAAGTGCAGTAAAACAATCATGGCTGCCATATTGTGTTATTTCAAACCCATAGATATATACACTAGATATCGCATAGGGACCCTGAGCGTCAATAGCACCGCCACATTGGTACAGTGCTCCCAGGACAGATGTCATTCAACCGCACTAGTCAAGACGGTGTTATTACGTGAATGCTGGACTTTAGCGCTGTCTACGGGTGTAGTAACAAGCAAACAAAGAAAACAAAGCACAAAGGCAGAACATTTCATAGGTAAGATTAAGTTTTTTCTGTTTTTGTATGTTCTGAACTTTTATGCTATTCAGGTAACTTTATTGATTATAACAGTCACTTACTGCATTCACCATAAGGCAAAGCAGCTCCAACTCGCACTAAACACTCGGCTTATGCTAGTTTTGTTGAATAAACTCAGTAAACAATGCAAAAGAAATATGACAACGAGATGCTGCGCTACCAGAAACTTGTATTATTGTTGAAACACTGTACCTTGGTCCCGCATTCATTTCAAAGGAGCGCTACCCTGTACCAAGATGGCGGCGCTATTGACGCATTCCGTCCAATAGACAACAATAGGCCAGGTGAATTCTAATGTATATATCTATGTTTCGAACCAAAGTGCTTAAAACCGGCCACTTTGTATATGCTTTGTATATTTATGCAACTCAGAGTAATTCTTGCTTAATGAATGTTAAAGTTGTATTTCAAAAGGCTTTTGTATTTTTTTATACACCAGTTTAGAGTGTAAAACATTTTTTAGAAACTCTATATGCAAATATGGTTGGAGAAATTCTCTTCATCTGGTGGCTTTAAATGTTACTGCCATGCCTCAAATACTGAAAGGTAGTTTTTGATTGGAGCAGAGAGCGGGTGAATGGGAGATTAACTTTGACGGTGCTGTCATGTTAGAGTTTTCTTCATAAAAAAGGTAGTTTGAGTTTATATTCGGAGAGTTTTTATGACAGAAAATGCCTTTGGATGTTTTTTTGTTCCTATTTTGAGTTTTATAAATATTTTTTGTTTATTTTGATACCCCACATTTATAATTTTCATTTGTGTCATTTGCAATGTTGTATGGGATTGTAGTTCTTTCTTTCAGCATTGTTTTCCTTGATTTTCATATAATTCTTAGCTTCGAATTGAAGTTTGTAATGTAGTTATTCACCTTGTAGCTGATCGGTTTTGTTCATGGCCTGCAGCACTTTAACAAAGACTGTTTAAAAGTCTCTGTGGAGAAAATGAGTGGAGAAAATGCTTCTAGAAAAAGCTCTGTTAAAAGTGGACAGGCACTAATGCACTCAATAAAGAACCTTTTGTTCCACAGTGGAAAGGTTTCATGGATGTTAAAGGTTCTTCACTGATAACCTTTATTTTTTAAGCATAGATTAAATAACTGCATGTAAATACTACAGTTTATATTACAGTTCCATAGTTATACCATAATATCATGGTATAGACCATTTCAATGTGGTCATGTCATTGGCCCATGAACATTTCCTGCTTGTCGTCTAATTATTTTAGTAAATGCAGAGGCAATTCAATCATATCTCGTTAAAACAGCTGTCATAATGTTATTCATCGATATGTGGACCTTTCAAGATTTTCGGAGCAATGGAAATTAAAAATGTACAACAGGAAATACATTAGGATCATTGTTATTGTTTACACCCCTTAAAATGGTCTATAGACACAGTAGCAGTTTAAATACCAGATTCATTTATTTACAAGACGTTACAATGTATGCCATAAAAATAACCATGATATCATAAATAATCTAAGTTATGTTAATAAGCTATGGTACTTTAAATAATTTCAAAGTGTTATCAGTGTAATATATTGAACTGGTGAAATGCATATCTTGATCACAATGTACTCAAATCACTTTGGATAAACTTATTTGCCAAATATGTGTGCAATGTAATGTAAATTGAGTAGAAAACAAAGTATTACCATTGTAAATCAAGTTCAAATTGCTGTAATAGAATGGTACTTTAAATTATGAAGTGAAATTATCAGGAAAACTAAATATTTTTAGTGATCACTGCAGTCATTTGAGATTGTTATTACAGTGCATCTGGACAGCATTCATAGCACTTCACTTTTTTCACATTTATTATGTTACAGCCTTATTCCAAAATGGATTCAATTCATTTATTTCCTCAGCATTTGATGTATAATACCCCATAATGGCAATGTGAAAAAAGAGTTTTTGAAATTGTTGCAAATTTATTAAAAATAAAAAAACCTGAAAAACTACATGTACAGAAGTATTCTCAGCCTTTGCCATGCAGCTCTAAATTGAGCTCAGGCACATTCTATTTCCACTGATTATTCTTGAGATGTTTCAGCAGCTTAATTGGAGTTCACATGTGGTAAATTCAGTTGATTGGACATGATTTAAAAAGGCATACACCTGTCTATATAAGGTCCCAGGGTTGACAGTGCATGTCAAAGCACAAACCAAGCATGAAGACAAAGGAATTGTCTGTAGACCTCTAACACATTATTGTCTCAATGCACAAGGCTGGGGAAGGTTACAGAAAATTTCTGCTGCTCTGAAAGTTCCAATATGCACAGTGGCCTCCATCATCCGTAAGTGGAAGATGTTTGGAACCACCAGGACTCTTCCTTGTGCTGGCCGGCCATCTGAGTGATTGGGGGTGAAAGGCCTTGGTGAACAATAACCTAATGGTCACTCTGTCTGAGCTTCAGCATTCTTCTGTGGTGAGAGGATGATCTTACAAAAGAACAATTATCTGTGCAGCAATCCACCAATCAGGCCTGCATGGCAAAGTGGCCAGACAGAAGCCACTCCTCACCTGGAATTTGCCAAAAGGCATCTGAAGGACTCTCAGACCTAAAGAAACTAAATTCTCTGGTCTGATGAGACTAAAATTGAACTCTTTGAAGTGAATGCCAGACGTTACGTTTGGAGAAAACCAGGCACCGCTCATCACCAGAGTAATGCCATCTCTACAGTGAGGCATGCTGTGGGGATGTTTTTCGGCAGACTAGGATAAAGGGAAAGATGTAAAAAGACATCCTGAATGAAAACCTGCTTCAGAGTGCTCTTGACCTCAGACTGGGGTGACGGTTCATCTTCCAGCAGGACAATGATCCAAAGCACTATGCTAAAACATCAATGGAGTGGTTTTAGGTTTTAGAACTCAGAATGTCCTTGAGTGGACCAGCCAGAGCCCAGACCTAAATCCTATTGAACATCTCTGGAGAGATCTAAAAATGGCTGTAGACCATTGCTTCCCATCCAACCTGATAGAGCTTGAGAGGTACTGCTAGAGGAATGGGCAAAAGTTCCCAAAGACAGGTGTGCCAAGCTTGTGGCATCATATTCAAAAAGACTGAGGCTGTAATCGCTGCCAAATGTGCATCAACAAAGTATTGAGCAAAGGCTGTGAATACTGATGCACATGTGATTCTTCAGGTTTTTTATTTTTAATAAATTTGCAACAATTTCAAAAATCTTTTCCACATTGTCATTATGGGCTATTGTTTGTAGAATTTTAAGGAAACAAATTAATCCATTTTGGAATAAGGCTGTAACATAAAAAATGTGGAAAAAGTGAAGTGCTATCAATATTTTCCAGATGCACTGTATATTGCACTGTTCAAAATGCATATATTACTCTGCTTTTTTGTGTAATTATCAAAAATGTCTTAAATTAAGAAGCATTTTCTGGACAAGTAAAAAAATATTGTTTAGTATTCAAAAATAATGTCAAAATTAGGGCCAATAAACTATATTATATCAAATCGCAATAACATTTATGTCAATAACAATGATAAGCTCTGGACTTTTTTACTCTATATTAATCTAAGAGTCGATCACACAGCAGAAATGTTCAACAATGGGAATATAAAAGTGTTGATATTAGAGATTTTTGTCTTCGAAAATTTATCATCCGAAAATATATTATATCATTAAATGGACCCACTAATTTTTGAGGCATCAGTCATTGTTGGGGTACTGTTTTAAATCTGGAAGCATTTACAACTGATATTGAAATATATATCGTTATCACTCAATATGGAAAATAATTATCGAGATTGCATTTTGCCATATCGCCCAGCCCTAGTCAAACGTGAAAAGTCTTTTCCTCAAAACAAGCTAAAAATCTGCTTTATAGGGTAAGTAAAATAATCTAATTTTAAACCAGAAACAAGATTAACTTACTTACCCAATTGGCCAACCATTTTCCTTCTTTTACCTTAATTTTGACTCATTATTTCTGAAAACAAAACAATATTTTTTGCTTGTCTAGAAAAATCTAAATCTTCTTGAGGAATTTTTTAGATATTTGGACGAATAGCAAGACGAAAACTCAGCATTTTTGCAACCTGGTCTTATTCTAATGAACACTGATCTTTACCTGTTTCATTTTTTTTTTTTACAGTTCGATGATATTTACGCACTCTCATATAACAGCACTCATCTGATGTATTTGGGGACAGATGAGATGATCTTCAGGTTTGATGAACTCCTAACCTTAAATCTGAATGCAATAAAAACAAATCATTTTCTAATCTTACGAGTGCTTCTCTTGCAGTAACGGATCTGTGATCGCCACTTCTCGACTGCTGTTTGGGCCAACGCACGTCAGTCCAGAGCTTGTGAGAGGCATCTTTTTGCCAGCGTACAAACAAATTCCCTCACCATCACTAGACATCGACTTCAGCTACACTGACAGTAAAAAAACTGGCAACAATGGTTGATTTCACATTGTTTTTTAACAACACAGGCTCATTCTGAAAACGTAGCCCTATACATGTATATATTTCTGGAGATCAAGCGAGGGTTTATCTTTTTCTGGATTGCTTTTTATTTGTCTGTTGGGTTTAGGGAAGTGGGTGGGGGCTGGTCAATCTGTGCTTTTGAAAACACTATTGGTTGGGTTTAGGGAAGGAGGAGGGTGGGTCAGTCGATCAGTAAAAAAAACGTATTTGGTGCTCTCCAGAAATGTATATAGAGGTACGTTTTTCGAATGAGTCTGGGTTGCTCTGGAGTTTGAGTTTTGGTTCCACATAACCTAGTCTTCACTCTTAAAATGACTTTTCCGGCTTATTCAAACTACTTATTCAAAATGAGTTAAAACAACAAAGTTGTTAAGGTTTTTTAAGGACAATTTAATTGTTTTATGTTCAATCCACTTAAATCCAGGGGTGTAGCTAGACAAAATTTACTGGGGCACATGTCGAAGTGAAAAATTGCCAGTGCCCCAGTAAATGCTTTGAGATATGATTTACTTCATAAGTGAAGTAAATCAGTTATGAAGACATTATTCTACAGCATGTTCAACTGAACTAATGCTGGTGAAAGCAATGTAGTTTAATCAAAAAGCAAATTGAAGCATCTCTGCATGTGTGCAGAAAACCAAGGGATATAACCAGCTTTATGTCAAGCAACACCTCTAAAGTTAACTAAATCGATTTGTGTTGAGACAAGATGAAAGAATTGTGTGAAACCAAGCTTTTTTTTAGTGTTGCAAGAAAATAACTATTTTATGAAGTGGGGATTTGAATTTCAGCTAAAGTAGGCATCGAAGGCGCAATAGGAAATCTTTGAAAAAGCTAACGTTAGCCTGTTAGCACTGAAAGTCTATGTCCCACCCTGCCAATCACCATTCAAAGCCATGCTTCCTGAACGCATGAATGAAGAATGTTGGAAAAAAGCAGCCATTGACATCAAAATAAAATTGATAGATTTCATGTGGCTTCACAGTATTGAAGGAACCCCGCCCTGGTGGGCAAACAATACCAAAGTCACAGGCTCAATAATTTCTCTTTTTTGCCAAAAAGCCGGATAATTGCTGTGCAGTAAGGTTTTTTGTTACCAAAGTCACTTAAAGGTAAGTAATTTCACTCGGTGTCCATCTTTGAAACACTACTCAGGCAGTATGCTCTGGCGTTCTGTTTGAATGTGGAAACATCAAATAGTCTAAAACTGCTTGCCAAGCTTTCGACTGAATTTCGTATTAGAGATCACTAATAAAATTAAACAACACCTGTCTCCTTAGTTAAATTTCTAAACAGTTAAATCGCACAAAATCTGCAGAAACAGACTGCGTCCGAAACCACCTGCTACTCAGCAGGTACTGAATTTGAATTTAAACGCATTACTAGTCTCGGCTATAAGAAAAGTAAGTTCTCTACAGTATAAATGTCAGTAGTATGAATTGAACTTGGACATACTACATCTGCCATTTTGTCATAATCACGTGACCTACCTGTGTGAATTGCGCCGCTTCCTCCCATTCATGAATTCTCTCGCAGTGCATCATGGGATAGCGCAGTGTGCATTAGATACACACTTTAGAATCTCGCTGGAAGTAGTAGGTCATCCGGGCACTGTTTTTCGAATTCTATGAATTTGAACATACTACTTGGCTCGCATACTGTTTTTTATGTACTACATAGTATGGAAGTATGCGATTTTGAATGCAGCCACAGTCTGGACTGAGCCCCTCCCCCGGAGAATCATCAGTCTGTAGCAATAGCTGATTTGCTCCTGTACTAGAAGGCGGGACTTCATTCGCCATATTGACCGTTACACTTTTCCCTATTCAAAACTATAAGAGTGATATGTCTTGTGTATCCTAAAGCCTTTAGCGTTACTAACCGACAAGGAGACACACCTGAGAGAAAGAACAGTCATAAGGGAGAAATTTATGGATTTGTGTTTGATTTGATGATTAAATTGCTGAAGAATATCCTAAAGACAGATGTAATAATTGGAGCTCTGACAGGAATGCCAAACTGACTTTACCAAGTAGGACGTGTTCCTGGATAACATCTATGTTGATCCTGAAACAACATTCCAATCAGCCAATCAGAATTAAGCGATGTGTTTACAGTTTGTGTTAAGTTTAGGCTTATGGTAAGGTTTTTGCACTTCTACATGATTGTTATCCTACTATTATTCCCCTCTGATTTTGAAAATAATTTACAGTTATAGTTGTAGTAGTAATTGAGGGTAGGGAATAGGTATGGATTACATATTCAAACAGAAAAGATGTTCCAGGATCAACATAGATGTTAATCCAGGATCGGATCGTACTTTATGACGTGCCCGACAAGGACATGACAGGTTCAAATGACTGAAAAATGGTTGCGGGTGCAGAATATGAATCGCAAGTGTCCACTATTTACAGTTTGTGATCACATCTCGGTTCTGTTCTGTTGATATGTGATCCAAATATCCGTAGCTTGAAACAGATGGAAATATGACCTGTTTGGTCTGCGTTTCTATGGCAAGCCCAGTGCAGCTGCTATTACAGCTCATTACTTTTATGCCTGCCAGGTCTCCGCATGGATCACGTGACTAAAAAACTATCAATATTGGCTGTTTTTTTGCCAACACTCTTCAATACGTCTTCCTTTGTGTTCAACAGGAGAAAGAAACTCAAGCAGGTTTAGAAGAAGTGGAAATTTCATTTTTGGGTGATATTCCTTTAAGACTTAGCGTTAACCAAGTATTTCCCAACCATGTTCCTGACCGCACACCAACAATACACATTTTAAACCGCTTCCTAATCAAACACACCTGAATCAACTCAGCAGGGTATTAGAAGAGTCTCTAAAACCTGAAATGAATGGGTCAGATAAGGGAGACATTCAAAATATGTACTGTTGGTGTGGTTGGGAAACACTGTTCTAACCCTATTGAAATTAACAGAAACATGATAATGCACGAGATTACATAACATAAATTCACCACATCCTAAAATAGTTATAAAATTCAAAACCACTGTTGCCCAATACATCATTATGAGCCACTAAAAAGTACATACATTCTCATTTGCAGATGAACTACCGACTGAAGGACCTTTTGAGGAAGAGAAGAACTTTAGCAGTCTGACAATGACGACATACAAAGACCCGCCTCTTTCGACCACGCCCCTAATGACCACACCCCTTAAATCCACTCCTGATGCAGAATCCCTCACCAGCCGCTCTCCATCCACGCACACGCCCAACATGTCCACTTCTGTTGGTGTAGAAAACATTACACACTCCAACCACTCCACATCCACCCTCTTTAACTCCACCACGGTGCACCCAACACCCAACGTAGTAACAAGTAACACAAGTACATTATACAGCACCACTGCAGAAACACCAACTGGCACCATTACTACAGCTTCCAATGGCACCACCATCACTACAGTCCCAAATGTCAGCACCGCCCCATCAACAACCGGCACCACCACCCCTGCAGCCTCCACCAGCACCATTACTTCTGTCAGGACCAGTTTAACATCCGTCCACAGCACAGTTGGGAATCCAACAACAAGCTCCACTCCATTTACAACACGCTCCACCCCAATTTCAACAGCTCCACCCCAAAAGACCACACCCATGTATTATTCTCCTCCCACGATCGCTGATCTGGTGCCTGGATGGGCGGTTGCCCTGTTAGCATTGGTGGGCGTCAGTCTCTTCCTCCTCATCCTCCTCATCATTCTGGTGAGTGATCGAGGGTGTAGGATTGATTAGGGATGCACCATTTACAGTTGAAGTCAGAATTATTAGCCCCCCTGAATTATTAGCCCCCCTGTTAATTTTGTCCTATTTTCTGTTTAACAGAGAGCAGATTTTTTTAAACACATTTCTAAACATAATAGTTTTGATAACTCATCTCTAATAACTGATTTATTTTATATCTGCCATGATTACAGGAAAAATATCTAGTCAAATATTATTTCAAGACACTTCTATACAGCCTAAAGTGATATTTAAAGGCTTAACTAGGTTAATTAGGTTAACTATGCAGGTTAGGGTAATTAGGCAAGTTTTTGTATAACAGTGGTTTGTTCTGTAGACTATCGAGAAAAAAAAAAAAAACTTAAAGGAGCTAATAATTTTGACCCTAAAATGGTTTTTAAAAAATTAAAAACTGCTTCTATTCTAGCCGAAATAAAACAAATAAAACATTCTCCTGAAGAAAAAATATTATCAGGAATACTGTAAAAATGTCCTTGCTCTGTTTAACATCATTTGGGAAATATATATAAAAAAAAGAGAAAAATACAAAGGGGGACTAATAATTCTGACTTCAATTGTGTATCAGCAGTTGTACTGGTATTGGCATGATATACTAAAGACTTATGGATTATTTCACTGAGAGTACTGATTGGTGCTATTTGCATGATGTGACTAGTAGCATAAAGCAGATGATTGGTTTAGATGAGGTTTTGCTAGCCGGAGTCACTGTGAATTAAAAAAAGAGGACATAACAATGGCAAGATGCAAATGGTTTTATGTCAAGAAAAATCTAGATGTTTTCTTGCAGTTTTCTTGTTTCAGCAGTGAGGGTTTTAAAATAAAATCTGTTTTTTTACTGTATCTGTTTGCCTTTTTTTTTTAAATGGGGCTTAGAAAGAAAAATCTAAAATATGGTTTAGTTTTTTTTTTAAGTTGCAGTAGGTGATCTGCCAAAAGAGCAAGAGGTGCGCACTTGTACAAATCTGCATTTGTTGACAGACAGTTGGAGCTACTTATCAGAATTATGGAAATTGTAGGCAGACAATATTTAATTGGATGAACATTTTTTAGTTTTATGCCTTACCTATGCCTACAAATAAATACATTTAGATCATTTACTTTAACCATTAATATTGGACTCTGAGGAGACTTTCAACCAGCACAACAAAAAATGTTTCTGAAGGCATTCACTTACTGCACCTTTACAGAACAGATTCAAATCTTTAAAAGCTGTTGTTATTTGTGTGAAATATAAGTTATATATTTATTTAACTCTTAAAACTGAGCAAATTATATTACTATATATGTATAAATGCTGGTACATTGGTATTATATGAAATATATAATAGTCAGCATTTAAAGTGGACCAAAACCCTTCATAAAGGACATGCATAATTTAAACATGCAGCACCTCTTGCAAGGAATAATCTGCAAACAAAGTTTCAGATTTTCAAAGTTTCACCACAAACTTTCAAAGTTTCACTACACTTTAAAAAAGATTTTAAATAATTTGGAATGTGAAACATTGGCTTGATGTTTTGACTAGTTTTAATTGTCATTTTATGTGTGTTCTGATGGATAAAAGATGTTATCTGTATTTTTTGTGAAACCCAAACTGTATACTACTAAATCTTGGCCAGGATGCTTTAGTGAAGAAGGTTTTTAATCTCAATGTTCTTTTTCCTGGTAAAATAAATACTATGATAATAATAATAATAATAATAATAATAATAATAATAATAATAATAATAATAATAATTAAAAAGCTGCCTTAAAACTATTCAACAACACACATTCTTGTCTTAGGACAATTTCGAAAAAAAAATAATTTTTTGATCCACTGCAAATGTTGACTACTCTAAGAGGTTTGTCCTTTTGATATGTCCCCCTTATTTTAAAGGTAAGAGTGGACATAGTAATTGAATCTTGAATGTGTGGGGCTTTAGGTTTTGCTCACTTCCAGTACTTGTTCAAACTACATATTTAAAATGACTTGAATTAACACAAAAGGGTTTTTGGGGACAACTTAATTTTTCATGTTTAACCCGCTTAAATTTATAAAAACAATTAAGTTAACTTAATCAATTTGTGTTGGGTCAACATGAAGGAATTGTGTGTAACCCAGCATTTTGTTTTACAGTGAGTGCTAGTTACTTGCCAACAAGCTTTTTCTCCAATACATGCTGCCGGATGTAGATGTTTTGTTAAATATTAAATCGTTTTATTCAAAATGCCCCTGCTGGGAAAAAAAACCTTTATAAACCATCACATTTACTGCATTGCTAGCTATTTGTAGCACTGGTTGTGCACTGTAAAAAAGTTGAGTTAACTTAAATTTTTTAAGCACCCGGTTGCAAAGAAATGTTGAATTTATTAAGCTTCAGTGGTTGAAGTTGAGACTTTTTTTTTTTTTTTTTGAAAAGGCTGGTTTAAGTCAAGTATACTTTATGGAATAATTTGTCACAACACAAGCTGTTAAATGATTACCATATTTACATAAAAAATAAAGAGATGTGTGATAAAACACTTAAAATAATACTATGGCTTATTAAGTACATGCATAAAACTGACATTCACATAATACTAGACTTTGTCCAAAAAGCCAAAATAATGTGGTATTTTATTTATTTTTTTTGTAAAAAAATATATACTATTAAAGGACAATGGTGTTCCTCCTCCCCCTCTCAGGTGGTGATCTGGTGCTGTTGTCCAAAACGAAGGGTTTTTGTCAATGAACCTGAAGAGATGAATCCACCCATGTACTTCAGTCCAGACATCCCCATGTACTCCACGCAGAGCACGTTTGACACAACCAACGGCAAACAAGCGGTGTGATACTATTCATAACTCATTCTGATGCAATTTTCCTTGCTTTTGTTGACTGTTTTAAATCTTCAGATTTAAAAAAAAATGAAGAGAGTTGAACTAAATAGACTCTTGACAAACATCTATTACGACGTTTATTCTTCGCTGTCTGTCATTGTTAACATGTTCTAAATAGTGTGGTCAAAACGGTTCAAAACTAGAAAGGAAACTATTTAAAATATATTAGTCTATTTAAGTAAGGGATATTCAACAGCTTGCCATGCGTTAAAGGATTCTAATGCACGATGTGGAGGTAAAGGACCACACAACATGTAGCAGAGTGTGGTCACCTCCGTGAAGATTTCGAGACAGTCCTCGATGCAGCCCGCAACTTGATGACGTAGTTGACCAGGTCCACTAAATAGTTGACAATTGCCTACACATTCCCCTACCCTAAACCCAACCGTCACGGTAGCATGGCCGGTACGATACCTAAATGGGTGGTACAAGATCCGCTACGTAGTTGACAATTGCCTACACTTCCCCCTACCCTAAACTCAACCATCACAGTAGCATGGGCGCTACCTTAGTGGGCGGTACAAGGTCCGCTACGTAGCTGACAATCACCTACACCTCCCCTACCCTAAACCTACCCGTCACGGTAGCATGGGCGGTACCATAGTGAGTGGTACAAGGTCCGCTACGTACTTGACAATCACCTACACCTCCCCTACCCTAAACCCAACCGTCACGGTAGCATGGACGGTACCATAGTGGGTGGTACAAGGTCTGCTACATAGTTGACAATCGCCTACACCTCTCCCTACCCTAAACCCAACCATCACAGTAGCATGGGCGGTACCTGTGAGCTGCAACAAGGACATATTGATGATTTCAGAAAACAGAAATCTTTGCTGTTAAACAGGTAGGGAAATTTTGCAAAAGAAAAAACTTATCGGGACAGGTAAGAGAACATTCTGCTTTTCTTCCATTTTATATTACATTATTTACGATCACAAATTAATTATGAAACTTACCTTTGTGATCTGAGGCGACGCAGTGGCGCAGTGGATAGCGATGTCACCTCACAACAAGAAGGTCGCTGGTTTGAGCCTTGGCCGGGTCAGTTGGCATTTCTGTGTGGAGTTTGCATGTTCTTCCTGTGTTTACGTGGGTTTCCTCCGGGTACTCCCGTTTCTCCCATGGGTAATGGGTTGCAGCTGAAATGGCATCCGCTGCGTAAACATATGCTGGATAAGTTGGAGGTTCATTCCGCTGTGGCGACCCCAGATTAATAAAGGGACTAAACCGAAAAGAAAATGAATAAATTAATGAAATAATAGCAATGAAAACTATTATTTACAGAAACACCTAAACAATATTTAGTTACTGTTTGTGCTGTTTTCATGGTGTCTGTTGCTTTAAATGCTTGAGCTCTTTAAAGCAGGATGGATTTTGATTGGCTAACAATCCTTTAAATTTTTTCTTCATTATACAATTGATTAGCTATTTATTCACTTTATGCGTTATCATCCTTATTAAGAATAGAAAAATTAAAATATACTTTTTTTTTTACTTTAAGTGCATCCAAAACTATATTTTGAAGAAAGTTGAAAATTAACCTTCACAGTATTTTCTTTTCCTACTATGGAAGTCAATGGCTACTGTTTACACCAACATTTTTCAAATTATCTTTTTTTGCGTTCAACAAAAGAAAGAAACTCAAATAGGTCTGCAACAAGTGGGTGGTTTGAGTACGTGATGACAGAATTTTAATTTTAGGGTGAACTGTCCCTTTAACTATAGAACTGCGGCTTTATTGTGAAGGGGAACAGAGGGGTTTTCAGGAAGGCTCTCCATCCCCATCTCTGTCCATGTAAAACACTGACCCCACAATCACAGATCAGACCCAGAGAAATTGTCTCGTGTTACCTGTCGCTCCAGCGTCCCCGTCGCCCGCACAGGCTCCTCTTTGTGCGGCTGTGACTGAGAAACCTGAAGCCTGGGAAACTCGACTCTGAGGCCTCCATTTGCGTCTCCTCCACCGTCCAGCAGCCACGGCGTCACCGCGCACAATACAATGCCCTGCCTACATCCGAACAAAGACCCAGAGAAAGACCTGAGGCTGAGCTCTCAATCGAGCCTTCAGTTTGAGGCAAAGCGGATGAATACAGCAACTTTCGGTCGAGGGCTGATCAGAGCAAGAGAGTAATTAAAGGGATAGTTCACCTAATAATTATTGTTTACACACTTTTTACTCACCCTCAAATAGTTTCAAACCTGAGTTTGTCCTGAAGCTTTGAAAGCTGAAAATTATTAAATAGGAAATACAAATATAGTGGAAGTCAGTGGTTACAGATTTCCAACATTTTTCAAAATAACTTTGTGTTTAACAGAAGTAAGAAAGAAAGTAAGAAAGAAAGAAAGAAAGTTTTGATATAAGTAAGAGGGGAGTAAAATTTTCCACTTTTGGGTGAACTCTCCCTTTAAGTGAATGGAGGCATTTCTTTGATGTTTACAGTGATAACAAGTTGTTATGACTCACAATGAGTATATAAAGAGAGTATCAAAAGAAGGCCGAACTCAATGACCCTTATACAATGACAGACACAAAATGGCAGACTAAATTAGATAAACTTGAGTTGGAAAAAAAAAAAAAAAAAGTCAAGATTGGACATATATACAATATATAACACTATTTCATATTAAATAATATATTAAAATTATAAAAATTGCAGGTTTGTTGTAACAAGAAAAGGTGTTAAAAAGTTGGGTTGGGTTATTAAATGTGTCATTTAAATTTTATAGAAAATAAATCACCTCACAGTGGGTTAAAACAACCCAGTATTTTCTAGTGTAAATATATATAAAAAAAAAAAAATAAAAATTATATATATATATATATATATATATATATATATATATATATATATATATATATATATATATATATATATATAATCAGAATATTACTCACGACAAAATACTACAAAAGGAAATTGTAAGTTTAATATTTTATGAAGAAATAATAATATTAGTAATTTTATTAAACGTTTCTCGGTATGGGTTGCTGCAGGAAGGTCACCCATTGCGTAAAACACATGCTGAAATAGCTGGCGGTTCATTCCTCTGTGGCAACCTCTGATAAATCAGAGACTAATAGTCTGTTTCCTCTGACTGGTACAGTACGGTACGGTACGGTACGGGTCACCTTTATTAGGCTTGCGTTTCCACTGCCTAAAGGGTACCAATGGTGTACGACAGAAAGTTTTAGTCGACGCCATTCTCACTCAAAGTAAAGCCGTGCGGGTCGTTCACATGTCATATGAGAAGCACCTATCACAAAACAGATGCTTTATATACATAAATACTTGTGTATACATGTTTATTACTAACTTTTTCTATAAACATGATTTGATTATAACTGCAGATCAATGATAAAATAGCGTACTATAACGTCTGCGATTATATAAAATAAATAAATAAATGCAACATATTTGAACAAATACAGCCCCTTATAGTCTCCGATATGTTAACAATTACAGAAAAACTACACACAGCATACATTTAGTCTACATTTGGGTTCAAAAACAACACACAACATATACAGTAGCCCAGTCATTCAAACCTCTCATCTGTATCTTTAATCTTCACCAGCAGTTTAGGTTGCTGAAAGAATCATTTGCTCCTTTGATTTTTTGGCTCCTCCTTTGTTTTTTCGCGCTTCACTCTCGCGTTCGTCTGTTTCTGAAAAGATCAGATGTCAGTAGCACTTCAATAATCACGTGCAGGTTATTATCATCAGCTCAAGAAGTAAATTTTTTCAAATATAGACGTGCACACAAGCGATCGCGAGCTCTCTGGAGAAAGTGAAACCGCTCGCACTTTTAGACGGCCTCATAAACAACAGGACACAACAGATTCTGCTCTTCTTGGATTTGTGGCTGTTCATCAAGACAACAACAAGGTTTGTCTGAGCTCGGGTCAACCATGGCTTGTTATAAGATGCATATAATATTAAAATGTAAGGTCTCGGATGTGTACTTAAGGGTGCTTTCACATCTGTAGGTCGCTTCATTTGGTCCGGACCAAGGGCAATAAATAATACATTGTTGCATTTTCTGCTGTCTTTGGGTCGTTTTCACACCACACTGCTGGCTTTGGTCCGAACCAGTTAAAACGAACCAAAATGCAGTCATCTGACAAAATCCACATTTCTCATAACCTGCTTATCGATTGGTCAGAATTCACGTGCGGAAAAATGCCAATGAACTTCCGCAAGTAAACAAAACCGGCAGACACAAAATGTCGTTTTTACTCTGTAGGGACGACTGCGCTGGCTGATTGTATCCCTGCTTTAGACAAACTATACATTTCGAGAATGAAGCACAGGAAAACAGTGTTTTAATGCATCGCTCGTCACTTCAACTGCGACATGGTCATCTTGCGGAAATATTACCAACGATCCATCAGGTAATGTTTTCCACTCTCTCTCTCTGTTGGTAAAGCGCTGTCAACAAATATTTTCCTCCATATCCCATAATGCACAGCGCAGGGCCGGAGTGGGACTCATTTTCAGCCCTGGAGTTTCAAGCCAGACCGGCCCACCTCAGTTCACGACTATATTAAAATAAGGTCATTTCCAATTCAGTTTCTAATGACACTATCACGTCTTTTTCAAGAAAACAGCTGCTTTAGAAATTCAAATGTTCAAAAGCCCTAACAGTATTATATGTCTTAACAATAATAATAAAAAAAAACAATAATAATAATTTTCCAGGTGAGATACGAACACGGGTCGGCGGCGCTGTAACGAAACGTGTTTACCGCTGGTCCACAACGGCGTTATTGCAGCGTGAAAAAAAAATATTGTACTATGACCCGCAAGACACGGTATTACTTTCTGTTGATGGCTTAATACTTTTCTCACCTTTTTAGATTTCTGATTAAGTTATGTCAGATTTATTAATGTAGTGAATCATCTGATTTTCATTGAGCAGGTATATTATTCATTAATATTAATTATTGTTTGGGGTCGAATGATGATAGTTAACGTTACATCAACATTAACGTTAGTTCACCTGCAGGCTGCATTTTGCTCACGTGGCTGCGAGAAAATAAATAAGAAGAGTGGAGCTGCGGCAAAATAATTAATAATAAGAGTGAAGCTATGGTCAAATAAATAAATAGATGAAAAAAAGTGCGACTGCTGAGAGTGAAGCAGCTAGGGACACCGGCCCTCACGGCCAAAAAACGGACCGGCCCACCGGGAATTCTCCCGGTGCTCCCCATTAGCCAATCCGGGCCTGGCACAGCGCATCTGCCTACGACAGCTGAATTAGTTCAAGAGGTGCAGTACTTTTTGCGGTTGGCCCTGTTTTAGTACGGATCATGTTCTCACTACACACAAACCGCTCCAGGGTTCGTTTGAAAGCATATTGAGACCATCTCTTCAAGCTGGTCACAGTACGCTTATTTGGTCCGCTTTTGGTGTACACTCGAGTACGATTGCTGCATTCAATCAAACTAAATAAGGCAGGTGTGAAAGCACCCTAAAAATGGCAGTTTCTTTGTTTTCATTCTCCTGCTTGTGTATGCATGAGTGAGGTTTCTCTGTAAACCAATAGCGTTCAGCTGCGCGTCTGGCTCCGCCTTTTAGTACCCTTTTGTTTTGCTAGGTACCCTGTGCAAAGGGTACCCAAAAAGTGGTACGGTACGGTTAGATTTGAAGTATCTTTTGACAGTGGAAACGGCCATAAAAGCGTACCGAACCGAACCGTACCGTACAGTACCACTCAGTGAAAACGGGCCATAATACATTTATTATCATGAATGATAATAAACGTAAAAAAGAAAAAAAAAGTTGTTGATTGGATGTCACTGCAAATGAATGCACTGATTAGTGCTGTTAAGTGATGTTTTTTTCTTTTCTTTAACAGGATGTCAGAGAAAAACCTCCAAAAATCCGCACAGGAATGTATGTGGTAAACAAATAAAAGATACAGGTATGGAATATAAAAAAACAAATGACATATTTAACAAACCTAGAACATCTCGCATTGTTACGCATTGACTACGTTTACAAGAACATCTGTAACCAAATTATTTGCCTTAATCTGAATAAGGCAGTAATATAAAGAAGTGTTTACTTGAGTTGCCTTTTGAGTGGTCCTTTCATGATCCATGTTACAGCACATAATTCGATTAACGTCATTGTGCCATTGCGCTATCGACATTTCTTTCAGGGTTTTATGTAATTTTGGATTTAATTTTTAATTTTTGGGCTTTAACTGCAGTTTGGGACTTTCACTTTCATTCAGGAACATTTTATGCATGCCCTCCTGTGACAAACGAGATATTGGATGCGAGTATGAACAGCTGGAAGAGTGTAGTTTTAATGGAATTTGATACCACACGCCGAATGGGAATAAAACCTCCGCGTTTCTCGTGTTAGTGGTCCTTTACTGACTCTGTAGTTGCAGAGAATAGTGTCAAACAGTCATGTGTATATAGACTATCCTGTCGCAAAAAAATCCTACACGATGGTAATAGTTTGATTGTGGTGTTTACATGTCTGTACTGCACTTCAATAATGCAATAATACAATTTCTGTTTAGTGCAATTGTGACCTTAATCAGACTAAATTAATCAAAAATCGTTGTTTACATGGTAGACTCTTAATCAGAGTGTTGTCTTTATCGTATTAAAATCAAATTATTGGTGTCCATGTAAACGTAGTCACTGTTACTTTTGTTACCCAGGTCCTCAGAGCACAACACTTTCAGTCCTCAGTGTGTATGTGAGGAACGAGGAAACCTTTAATGAAGAATTACTGTCACACAAGTGGCTGTGAACAGCAGCTGAAGCTCAACAACAGACAGGAAGGGGATTTTACATGCCATTGCTATCTGTTTAGAATATATATTCCTACAGTATACCTTTTGGACAATGTATTTTGTAACATTTCGAAATGGATTGCGTGATGACAATAATGAGATATGTATAAACGATGATTTAGTCAAATTAAAAGGAGTTTCTGAAAATGAACAGGTGTTTGGAGTGTTGAGTTTTATAATGCATAATGAAATTGAAATTCTAAAATCCCTGTGATAAAAATATATCAAATTTATTCATTAAAAAAATGTATTTAAAAAATGATGTGGTTGCAACACTAATGAAAAGCAGCCATTTTGCCAAAATTTGGGTTAAAATGTTCTTTTAATGCACTATATTGCAGTGTCATTGATCATAACCGCAGATCTATACTGTAAATTCAGCTTACTAGTACTGTTTGCACATTCACAAAGATGTGGCTCATGTTTCTAAGCAGCAGAATGATCCGCTCGTTTGTGCATCAAGTGACAAACTCAGTCTGAAGGAAAACGAACAAAACTACAGGTCATGACAGAGGCTCTGTGTCACTTCAGGTCAATTTCGGTTTAAAAGCACAAAGGGCAAAAAATGTGCCAGGAAGTATCCCGATTAAGAAATCAAAATATGGAGTGTTTGAACAGAGAGGACAGAGAGGGAGAGGCGAACACCACAGTTTATCTGTAGTCAAATGTAATCTGTGATGAAATTGCATTTTTCTCATATTTGAGTCTTAAAAGGCTCCGGTCAAACTTACTCTGAACCCACTTGCACAGGGATTAATATGGTTACTGAATTGAAATATTTTTTGTAACTTGTGTTAAAATGTCATTTATTTCTCTCATTTCAAAGGTGTTTCTTTTGCATAATTACCATTAGGATTACATTATGGAATGAAATGCAGAGTGTTATCATGAAACAATTCCATCTCTAAATATCATCATTTTGTAGTCTTACCTGGAAGAATCATGTCAATGTTTTGTGTAAGTTTTAATATGTATATATATATACAGTTGAAGTCAGAATTATTAGCCGGCTTTAATTATTATTATTTTTTTTAAATAGTTTCCAAATGATGTTTAACAGAGCAAGGGAATTTTTACTGTCTGATAATATTTTTTTCTTCTGGAGAAAGCCTTATTTGTTTTATTTTGGCTAGAATAAAAGCAGTTTTTAATTTTTTAAACACCATTTTAGGGACAAAATTGTTAGCCCCTAAGCTAAATTTTTCCTCGATAATCTACAGAACAAACCATTGTTATACAATAACTTGCCTAATTACCCTAACCTGCCTAGTTAACTTATTTACCCAGTTAAGGTTTTAAATGTCACTTTAAGCTGTAAAAAAAGTGTCTTGAAAAATATCTAGTCAAATATTATTTACTATCTTCATGGCAAAGATAAAATAAATACATTAATAGAAATGAGTTATTAAAACTATTATGTTTAGAAATGTGTTGAACAAATATTCTCTCCTTAAAACAGAAATTTGGAAAAAAATAAATAGGGGGGCTAATAATTCTGACTTCAACTGTGTGTGTGTGTGTGTGTATATATATATATATATATATATATATATATATATATATATGAGCAATATCACACGAGTAGCAGTGCGATATGGCTGTATATCGGCACTGGTGGGAGGCGTGCGATGGCACGAGGCCGCAGGTTGATATACAGCCATATCGCACTGCTACTCGTGTGATATTGCGTTTATACAACAGTTTGACGGCATAATTGTGTATATAAAAACAAAATCAAACATGGAGAGTCTCAAAAACCCTTTTGTATGAGGAACTACTTTTTTCCGGATTCAAATCATAAGCTGACAGTTAAACAGTTGAGCAAGCATCTTTAACTTTAGATCTGTAGTGTCTGCTTTTTGCTGGCTGTATGTGGGCGGAATAATACACAAAGGGTAAAGAGGCTGTAGGAGTTCTGATATTGCAGAATATTGCACGGCTATCAGCCAATCAGATTTGAGAAACAGACAGAACTGTTGTATATATATATATATATATATATATATATAAAATACACACACACACACACACACACACACACAGTATGTGCGCATAAAACTTTAGAATTTAGAATCAAACTGGTAATAACAGTAACTCAATAATAATCCATTAACAGTTTATTTAAGATATGATATGAAAGCATCTCATTATTGGAAGTTACCAAGACGCACGCAATATATATACGTAATTTTAACATCTGTTTGTGGGAAATTAAAATAATCCATCTTTTAAACAAAGCCTCTGTAGTTAATTGCGGAATGAAAGGTAAAAGACTTTGCCAGCTTTCGAAGAGGGGGCTTTACCATCCCCTTGTAGTACAATCGAGACATTATTTCTGTTGCATTTAATATGAAACTGTGTAAAGTGCCACAATGACAAACATTCAAGTGATGATTCAATCATTCACATTCTAATAAAAACTGTTACTATAACACAGTTTTGACAAAATTGTTGAGTTGAATGTTGTGCCCAAATAACATGGAATAACTCCAGTCCAGCAGGTGGCGCTGTGTTTTTCAAGGCACTGGTTAAATGGTACCGTACAGGAGCAGCCGTCAGCCCATATCAGCATGATGCTCCAGTGTTTTTAACCACAGTTCTAAGGCAAATTTGGTTCCAGTGCTCACGCGTTCAATGTCATCTCCATAATCCGGGGCCCGGTTACACAGCACAGACACCGGCAGAGAAGACTCGCTCATCTTACCGTCGGGAGAAACCTTTGTCACACTGACCACAAAAAACATAAAGATAACAAACACTCAAAACAGTGTATTAAGTATTACGACTAGTATATTACGCTCTTTAAATCAGTGTTTCTTAACCATGTTCCTGGAGGACCGCCAGCTCTGCATATTTTCCATGTCTCGTTAACCGAACACACCTGATACAGATCATCAGCTCATTAGCAGAGACTAAAAGAGTTGTAATTGGTGTGACAGACAACAGAGACTTCCAAAACATGCAGTGCTGGTGGTCCCCCAGGAACGTGGTTGAGAAACACTGCTCGAAATAATTAAAACTTAAAAATAAAAATGCTGGTTCACACACTCTGTTTCATGCATCTAGTTTGTGGGACAATTCGACATTCAGTTTCATTCAATTTGTGCAATTTTTGCTGTAAAATCTTTAGAGATTTATAAATGTAACTGTTGCTACGGGGTTTGATGCTTCTTCTTTGACCAAGAACCACATAAATAAACTTTCGTTTATTTGTTTATTGTTTTTCCATGATAAACCAAAATGATCAAACAATTATATACTAATTATTTCATTTCTTTACAAATACAAAATATACATATCAGGTTTAGAAAGAAATTCAGCTTCCAACTGTACTGATTTAATAAGAATGAAGTTGTGTGTATTATGAATAAGAAATCAAAAGGCAGATGCAGTTTATTTAACTGAAATACACATGATAACCAGAAAATAATACTGCATTCTGCAAGATGTTTAATAGAATTAAGTCCGAAATGGGGGCGACATGGTGGCTCAGTGTTTAGCACTGTTGCCTTACAGCAAGAAGGTCGCAGGTTCGAGTCCCAGCTGGGCCAGTTGGCGTTTCTGTGTGGAGTTTGCATGTTCTCCTCCTGTTGGCGTGAATTTCCTCTGGGTGCTCCGGATTCCTCCACAGTCCAAAGACATGAGCTATAGGTGAATTGAATAAACTAAATTGGCCGTACCGTATGTGTGTGAATGAGTGTGTGCGTATATTTCCCAGTACAGGGTTAAAGCAGGAAGGGCATCCGCTGTGTAAAACATATGCTGGATAAGATGGCAGTTCATTCTCCTGTGGTGACCCTTGATGAATAAAGGGACTAAGCTGAGGGAAAATAAATGAAGTCCGAAATACACAGGGAAATGTTCAGCCTAATAAATAAATGAAAATTATACTACATGAGCCATGAAAACCAGATGTATCAAACACAAGTTTTCATTTTACATTGTAAAAGAATTCTTGCTTCAAGTAGTAGTGATTTGCACTTAAATATTTTAGATTTTTTTACATTATTCAGAAAAGTATTTCCTGAAAGTAAAATAAAAAAGTTAAAACTTCTTGAAATAAGCTATTGCTTAAAAAATATAAATATATTATTTAGTTGAATCAAAATAACATTTCGAGTCATCTCAACTTACATCAAAACTGACTGAAAATATTAAGTTAAACTATAACTTAAAACATGAGTTGAAACCTGCTTAACTTACTAAAATAAGTTAAAGTAACAAATAACATTTGTTGTCATTACTTTTTGTCATGTCATATTTAACAGTTTTAATAAACATTTAATTTTAGAGTCAATCTAAAAGTTTAAACATGCCATACCTGATGCTCTCTGGCAGGTCAGCCGGAATTTGGACACACTCTTTCTCACCGTCTACAGCAGAAACCACAGCCTTCACCAGATCTGCATCCACCCACACACACGCGCTCACTTCAGCAGGATCCGGACGCAAACTAGCCTGAGAAACAACAGGGGGTAGCCAATGCCCAAATATGTAGTATATATATGTGTAGTTTCAGTATGGTTGACTTTAAGTTGTACCTGAATCTGCAGGTGTGTTTGAGAGCTCTTCAGAAGTATGTAAGTCACAATATGATGTCTCTTAGGCAGTCCTATAGTCAACATGGGCGGATACACTGACTGGATGGAGAACAAGAGCAGAAAACATCATATCAAGTAAATTCGCTTCATCTTTATTATTAATTAAATAATAGTTGGGGCGACATGGTGGCTTAGTGGTTAGCACTGTCACCTCACAGCAAGGCTGGAATAGTTGGCAGTTCATTCTGCTGTGGCTACCCCTGATAAATAACAGACTAAGCCGAAGGAAAATTAATAAATAAATGCATAATTAATAACTAATTTTATTCAGGAAGAAGGCATTAAGTTGGTCAGAAGTCAAGATAAATGCACTTATAATGCGACAATATTTATTTACATTTACTTTTAGTCATTTGGCAGACCCTTTTGTCCAAAGCAACTTACAATTGAGGAGGCATTCAGTGATCAAGAAGAGGCAATACACACAAGAAGTGTGAATTATACAAAGGAACTGTTAGGGGGGTGTTGTTTTTTTAGAGAGAAGTGCTTTTACAGGTGGTTTGTCAAGCCCACTCACCTGTGTCATAACTGCACAAGTGTTGGATGCGGCGGTTCTAGTTTAAATGACACTGTGCGAAATACCCCATATATTTCTGTGTGCATGTGTCAGTTTGGTTTCACAAGTGTTGTTTCGATTGTACATAGAGAGTAACAAACTTGCACGTGCAAAAGACACCAAAATGTGAACGATCCCTAACGTCTTTATTCTGGGATTACCCCTCTTAATTAATACACTTGCATAAAGTTAATCATATCTCAAAGCTTTTACTGGGGCACAGTTCATTTTTACTGGGGCAAGTTTTTTTTTTACAGTCTCCCCATGCCACCCTGGGTGATCACGTGTGATTGAGTGTCGGTTAAAGTGTCAGAGAGATGAAAGAGTGTGTTTTCTAAATTTATATTTCAAATAAATGTTGTTCATTTATCAAAAAAGTCCAGAAAAGGGTATCTCAAAAATAAGCACATTAGAATTATTTCTGAAGGATCTTGTGACACCAAAGCTGCATGAATGACTGATAAAAATTCAGGTTGGAATTATTTAAATAAATTAAAATATAAACATTTTTAAAATTTTATATATTATAATAGTATAAAACTAAATATATATATTTTTTAATTTTAATAACATTTTATCATATTGTTTTTACAGTATTTTACATTAAATAAATGAAGTCTCTGTAAACAAA